ACCCAGAAGTCAGGGGAGGTATGAGGTACAAGCTGCACTGCAAGTTGCCTAGAGATGTCTCCCTAATGGCAAAAATGACCCTGATGACTTGAAGAAGCAGCCTTCACATGGAGTCTGAGACATACAAATGCTAGCAAGATGCCAATATTCACATCTGCATAAAAAGGGATTTGGGAATTCATCAGTCCTCAGTCAAGAGCTGACTGCATCCTGGGACTATGCTCAAGTGACAGATGCCTTCCAAAGGTTACGTTTGTGTAAAAATGAAAAGTGTACTTTTAGGTCATGCTGTATTTTATAAATACATTTTACTTCAATATGCATAATTTAAAAGCAACAGCATGGAAAGTACATCATACTGAGACATCATATAAATTATAGAGAGCAATGGGGAACTCTGGACTTTAGCACAGCATGTACGTGATCCATGACACATAAGCAAGTTATTTTTATATCTGTCAGAAAACCACTCACTCTTTTCTAAAGCAAGCCCTTAAATGTATGGCTGACGAAAACTTATCAACAGTTAAGTGGTAAATGAAGAGATAGCAATTTTATGTACAGTAAGTCAGTCTGACAAAGTGATAGGGAAGACATCTCTGATGCAAATCATTTCTCTTAATAATGGGGGCCGGGGGCGTCACTTCTTGCTGTGTTATTAAGTAGGCTCTAGAGAGCAGTCAATGCCATCAGAAAAAGCAGGTGCCACCCAGAGCTCCCTCCAGTTTGGAGCCAGAAGTTTACAATGGTCCTAAAAAATCCCTTTAGTTGATCCCTCTATTGGTCAGGTTTGCCTCTTTCAATGGCTTCCATCCTAACCTGCAATAAGCCCTAGTGCTTCCACTTTGCATTTCTTTTGGCTAAATCCATTACAAAAATCAAAAGGAAAAACATTATTGTTGACAGGTGTAAAATGCAGATAAACAGCCTGCGATACATAAATGCTGAGCTTGCAGTTTATTGCTTTTATAGACTTACGATGCCCCTTTGAAATACTGTTCCTGGGGAAAAATATGCTTTTAAACCTACAGCAGCTAATATACAAACACACTAGACATTTAGGCAGCAGCTCTCTTACCATGTAAATGGAGAAAACTGTTGGGTAAGTGACCGTTTCTTCTCCTGTGCCTAAGGAGAAGAAACAGTCTTCTTGTCCCATTGGGGGACAATATGCTCGTGCACTGATCTAGAGACCTAGGAACAGTCTCCTCCTGCCCCTTTTAAGAACAAATGCTGACCTGCTGCCATGTCTTTTACGAATTTACATGATAAATATGCTTATTAACATCACTTAATAGGAAATCTGGACATTTTTGCTTTTTACTTAAATATGCCAAAACCAACAGCAACTGCTTTTGCACACGGCTCTGGCAAGATGGCTCCATGCCACAGGGCAGCTCCTGGAATTGTGGAAGGAGGCTATACTTGGGAGGAGGGTTTCTTGTGAGTTATTAAAACTTGTGAATTTCCTGGTCTTGAAAATTGGGTGTGAGAGGGCTAGTTATAAGGTTCCTGTAGGAGTTTTTAACCTGATGGAGGGGTATTCTCCATCTTCACTTCACTTTAATGAAGACCTAGACAAAAACCATTCATGAACACCAGCATGCAAAATCAAGACAGGCAATGGCTACCATTTTCAAGCCTGAGACTTGTGTGGGCATTTGGGATGCTCAGCACTGGATACCAGGACATAACTCCATTGCAGCCACAAACAAGTAGAGCAAAGGCATATCCTGCCTGGGAGAAATAAGAAAATAAACCAAGCATCTGAGACACTGGGTAAAAATCTGTTTGTATGTTTGCATCTAAAACCTCACTCCCATTTTCTTCCCAAGTACAGCAAGCAAAACCTCCTCTGCTATGGCCTTCAGATGAGGACGTTCTTGCAACTTGCTGATGAAGCCGAGTATGCCAATGCAGTACTTGGGTACCAAGCTAATGAATACAGCATAGCCCAAAAAACCAGAATTGCTTGTGATCATAAGCGTACACAATTTTCCAGGGAGATGATTGCCTATAAGAGGCAAGCACCAGGGCCGGCCTTAGGGAAAATGGTTCCCTGGGCGAACTTGTATTTTGGTGCCTTTGCTTTAAGCTTAAGTATGGAATAGTATTAATGAAAATTTCAGAATAAAGCCCCACAGGGAGCTGCTGGGCTGGATCGAGCGACTTGCACCCCGCAGGCAGGTACCGCTGCTGCTGTATAGGAATGAGGCGGGAAGACTGGACAAGGACATTGCCCACCTGTAAAGTCTGCCCTGATAGGCCCAACTCTCTTGTCGTGGGAGGCACTGGCCAAATCCCTCCCATGGAACAGGGAATATTCAAGTACATGCTGCAGGGACCTGTTTTCTTCCAACTCAGCCCCACCCCACATGGTACAAATGCATCAGGCTCAGAGCCACACAGCTGCAAACACCAAAGCACCCTGATGTTCTTTTCTCCCTATTTCGAAAAGCTTTTTAAAAAAAGTCAATAGAATTTAAGTTTCTGGCATCTCCGATTTCCTACACTGCAAGGGGAATTAGGCTGTATCTGCTTGCAGAATGTTAATGGAGGATTATGGCTTTGTAAAAGAATTAATGCTCAACCTTTCATCTCTCTTCAGACAGCATTCACCCACTTAATAAGATGAAACTTCTCTTAATGCCCCTGGGGATTCCTCTAGGATCTCTCCTAATACTTTTCTGCTCGGCTTCCTGTTTAATAAATAAAATTTTACAAAATCCTGTGTTAGGGACAGATAAAAAAAAAATCTAAATCTAATGTTAATCATAATTTTATAAAGCGCCTCAATTACGCAAGGTTTAGTCAATACAAAGTAAAAACCAGATCACAGGACCCAAGCGCTTGCAGTATGAGCAATGGAATCTGTCTCTGGCATCCTTTAAGACAGCACCTATATATCAACATACAGAAATTAGCATCTCCATAAAGCCAAATCTCTAAATCGACACTGGTCTTCTCTTTTTAGATTCAACTACTTAAACACGCAATATTGTAGCCCTTTCCCCTCTCAATAGAAAGGTCAAGTTCTAGCTCAGTTTATTAGATGATATGGTTATTGTCATCTAGCTTATAGAAAATGATTAATTCCCCTGCAGCTGTATCATCTCCCAATCCACAGCTCTAAACCCAAAGCATGTATGTGCCCTGTGGAGCAGATGTGAGCTCTGCTGAAATGGTGCATTTGAATGCATTTCCTACAAGTCTCTAATGTCATTGTATATTTTACATGTTTCCGACGCCACAGGTGATAGAAGGGAGTGCCTGCAGCCTTCAGCTTCAACTAAAACAGATTAAGGGAGAGTTTTGGGACCTTACAACCAAAGTAACAAGACAGAAAGGATGGGAGGAAGCCCCATTTTCTAGACAGGCAAAATGAATTAGGTCTCCCAAAGTCCAACAGGGCTTTATGGCCAAGCCAGGGACTGTGTGCCTGGTCCCAGTCCATTTTCTCAGGTCCCCAGGCTACATTTCTCCAGCAGCCTTCAAAACTACCATATGATCTGGGAAATCTTATTAAATCAAAAAAGGATCTTCCATCCCATTAACGAGCATTGCTTCAGGAAAGCCACGTCACCCACCTTTCCATCTACCAACCCAGTGACAGCAGGGCCGACTAGTAAGGGGTGCAGAATCTCTTCTGGAACCAGAGACACTAACTGAAGTTGCTGAAGAGCCTGCCCTGGGAGACCCACTTTCCACCTCAAGAGATGCACTCAAGTGCACGGAGAGGCAGCGTTGCATCTCTGGGGGAAGATTTGTCCTTCCTTGTCTATGCAGTTGCTTCAGCAAATTCCCATTGCGGGGGGTTATCACGTAGCTGCATTCCTTCAGAGCAGTGTTGCATAACCTATGGCTGGATCTGTTGAAGTGAGCAGATCCAACCTGCAGCACAGGAGATCAGCAGCTAGCAGCTTGGCCTGACATCTGCTTCACTGATACCTCCAGGTTGCAGGCAACGACCTCCACCCCCATCTCTCCACCAGAATGGTGGCCAATAGTGTAGCCAGGTTTCAAGTACCCAGTCCACCCCCACTACACACACACTTTAAAAATGTTGATCTCTACTGCTTTAGAGGGTATTGAGAAATACATGGAGATAAATTAAAGCTTGAGTCTCCCATAAACATCCAATCAGACCACAACATACAGGGATTAAACACCCCCGTAGAGGCTGCCAGCTTCCCAGAGGCTTAGTACTGCAAGCCCAACTGGGCCAGAAGAAACCTCCCAATAGCCCATCTGAACCCACTTCAGTAGTCTCTGAATCAAAATGACCCAGCCTGATCCTCTCTCCCTAAACTATATAAATCATCTTGATTTAGCTTCTCTCCAAGGGAATGCCCATGTCACAGCCTAAACTGTTCACCCTCCTCTCGAAGGTCAATAGGAGGCTGCCCAGGGGCTGCCAGGTGCTCAGCACTTCTGACAGCCCGGTCTTTTACTGAGGCATGTAAGTCAGAACATACGAGGCAGCGATCATTCAGACCCCGGTCTTAAGCATTTGGTTTCAAATATTTAGCTTTTGGCTTGAATAATGAAGAGGTTACAAATAAATAATTCTGTTTGATTTCCAAGGCAGGTGGATGTGAGGCTAGCTACATCTCTGTGCTGCTGCCTACAGAAACTAGCACACCTTTAACCAGGCTAACTCAATGAAGCACACAGGCTCAGCCTGACCTTTAACCTTTGGGTTAGAAAATTACTTCCAACTGCATTCTCTCAAACTTAAAACTTGCCTGTTCCAGTTTGTTCCCTGAGGCTGAGACTGCCTACACATTTTATTGCCTTCATACCTACCTACATTTTAAATAAATATCACAAAAGGATATAAAGTTAGCCAAGTTCACTCTTGCAACTGTTGCTACAGGGTTATACCAGGAACGTGTTTTTCTCTATATGCTGCATATGCTGTGGCCAAGGCTTTATACGAGAAAGATTTAGGAAAGGTCTGGGGGCTCCCTGAGGTTTTTCCCTCCTCCCCTGCTGCTCACCTGTAGAATTCTCTGCAGGATTGATGGAAGGGCAATAAAAGCAGCCATGTTGTTGAGCACCTGCATGGTCAAATTCTTCAGATCTGCAAGATCAAAACGCGGAAGTCATATACAACCAGTCAGAACTGGAAGGTTAGGAAAAGCCGTCACTGTAAAAGTTTACAAGGCCTTTTTTTTCCTGCTTTCAAAAAACATTACAAGTAAATATTTTAGATAACCAGCAAATTATGCAGTAAGTGCACAGTTCTTTCTATTTGAAAGTAAATGCAGTGTTCAGGTAAGCTTTCAAGCTTATGATTTCCACTCTCCACCCCGTTATTAAGCGGCCAGATGTTCTACAGCCTTCTTAGAAATCTTACTTGGTGATGCATTGCTATTCAGTTTCCTCTCTGCCTGCAAACTTTGGTCACATAAACAGCCCCCACAATGACTTTGAAACATCATGTTTCCACCGGGATAATATCATGTATTGCTTATTTTGGGGTGCCCAAACCTAAACAAAGCCTGTTTTTTAATAAGTGAAGGACCCCTGAAAAAGCCTGCCATCTCTGGAGGGACAAAGGGAGAGGAAAAATGCAAGGAAACAGCCTGCAGGGCATATGATAGTAACTGTCGCCTCTTTTCAACAATTCTGAGATGCTTGGTTTTCCCTTTCCACCATTAAAGGCCTTGACCTGAGATAAGGAAACTCTGGAGGTAGCAAAACAAGACAAGGATTCACTTCAATCAGCAGACACGTCATGGCCAAACTCTTCAATGGGTGGGTCAAACATACAGAAAAAGCTCAAGAGGCCAACTGGCATTTCAGGCATGGCCCTCTTTGCACCTGAAATGTGCTGCAGCTTGTAGCTCTCCTTCCTAGGATGATGCAAGGAACTGGATAGAAACAGTCGCTCTCTGCTCTCTTACTATCCCCAACCATAATATTTCATGGTCCTTAAGACATATTGCCAGCAGAATGACTGTTTTCTTCTTAGCAGGCATCAGTAAATCAAAAAAACACAAACAGTCTTAGGAGACTGTGAATTGGGAGGACAATATCCACTGCATAATTTTGCTCAAGAGAAATGGTGTTTCTTATTTTTCTAGCGTATCAACCTTGTGGTAACCATCTTCCATTTTCAAAACATCATTAATTTTAATATTGAGCTTGTTTAAATATTAAAATGATCAGACTCAATAGCTTCCCTTTGGCTAAAACCTGACTGCAATGTCTGTCTCTTACTGTGGCTCTGACAACTAGCTGATCCCTGGAGGAGTATTGTGAGTTTGTTAACGCACTGTCAGCCTACGCAGATGATCTGGCAAAAGCCCATCCACTCGCTGCATGACAAAAGGTAGAATTAGGGACCTGCTATTGGAGGAAATGGTCACTGGACTGTATTGGAACTGGAGCAGTCAGCGTTTCAAGAGGCTGTAGAGACTGACAGGAGAGGGAGAAGGATGAAAGAGCTGAAAGGCAAGGAAGAACAAAGGGATTTTCCTAAAGGTCCATGACCTTTCCAAAAGCTTCAGAGCAGAGTTAGGAAGAGGCAGGAGACTGGAGCTGTGAAATAGTTGCCAAATCTGTTCAGGCATTAAGAGAAGTGACCAATAAGCTTCCTTGCTTCTGCGATCCTATGGACTGGGCCTCCGAGGGGGCTGCACAAGGTCTCTGCAAGTTTTAAAGGGCACTTTCCTCCAAGCCATTCATCAGTCTCCTTCCATTCATGGCAACTGAGCATGGTTTTGCGCATCCCAGGCTGATGATGCTCTAAAGGCCTTGGGTAGCACCTCACTCACCATGCAGGGGTGGGAGGGAGTTGGGGGAGCAGTATGGGATGCCTGGAGGACTGACCAGATACTAATCAGAAAAAAAGTTTGGTGTCTGCATGTAACACTGGACTGGTTCATAGAGGACCAGTTCAAAACAATACCTGATTATCCAGTTATACTTTTAAAACATTCCAGGAGATTTAAACTGTTCTAAACTGACTTGCACATCTGTCCACTTCCATTTTAAACCGATCTAAGTGTTGCGCATGCCCATGTCCTCACTTCCCTTCTCTGTGGCCCTGTCCCTGCTCCTTTGGTCCATTTCCCTTATTTAAAATACAAACTCTTACAAGCAAGGACTGTCTCCTGTTGCATAGATGTTACAGTGCCCAGAAAAATGTGGCCATGCTCTTCACTGGGGTGTCTAGGGGCTACAATACCATACCAGCCCAAGAAGGCTCTCACATGTGAGAAGGTGACAGTGGTTTACCTATCTGGCAAAAAGGGACAAGAGGCAAACAGGTTGGGTTTACATTTAAAAAAAAAAAAAAAAGGATAGATAAAATCTTTTTATTTGAGTTTTTGTTCTCTCTCCTCCCCAGTGCCAGAATAATATATTTAGCATGTTTTATTTTGGTGCGTTTACCCGTGATATCACAACAATCATACAAACACCTCCTCACTCATATATGTGTGTCAGACACCTAGCTGCAATCCTATCCCACCCTGCTCAAGTCCCTGAAAAACTGTTAATGGGTCAATGTTGGTAACATGTCTTCATCCTAGCTTTAAGACTACGCAACAGCAACAAAAAATGGTAAGAAGGAGAATGACCCACAGAGATTCTGCATTAGACCAAGGAAACATGTTCTAATCCCTCAATCAAAGGGTTTTTAAATTTAAATTGTTTCAGGTAATTGCAACTGCCAGTGAGTTACATGAGGAGAGACGTGGGTCTCTATGCAGGACCAAGAGGATTTAAGACTGTAAAGAGAAAATGGATTGATATTTTTAAGTAGAAATCCTGCACACTACATATATTACAGTCTAGGAAGGTTCTAATATGCCCCTACTAAAAGTGGCCCTTCATAGCCAGGAGAGCAGGGTAACAGCACTTTACATCAAGGAAGGAGCCCCCCAGGGGACACTTGCCTGCCTGTACACAAATGCCAGGAGCTTGGGGAATAAGCAGGAGGAGCTCATCCTCCTGCTCAGTGCAAACAATTACAACGTCATAGGGATAACGGAGACCTGGTGGGACTCCACCCATGACTGGACCATGGGTATAGATGGCTATACCCTGTACAAGAGGGATCGTGTAGATAAAAGGGGCGGGGGTGTAGCTCTCTCTGTTAAGGAAAGCTACACGTCCCTGCAAGCTGATATTGGCGACCAGGGTGGACGACTGGAGACGCTCTGGGTTAAAATCCGTGGGGAACACGGCACAGGGGACACAATGGTGGGAGTCTACTACAGACCTCCCACCCAAAGTCCTGAGCTTGACCAGGAGTTTGCCCGGGAACTGGCTGAGGCCGCATGCTCCAGGACCGTGGTTGTCATGGGTGACTTCAATTACCCGGACATCTCGTGGGAGGATCGCTCAGCAAAATCTGAGCGGTCGCAGAGCTTCCTCTCATGCGTGGATGACCTCTACCTGACTCAAGAAGTCTATGGGCCAACGAGAGGCAAAGCGCTGCT